GAACTGTATTAGATACCAAAAGTATTGCCCAAAACACATTTTTAATCAAATCTATCAGCTTTACTTACAAGATTTGTTATCGAGATTGCAAACGTTTTGACTGTGGAAATTCTGTGCATTACAAAGTTGTATCAAAAAAGAATAAACTAGTTTTAATTAAGAAAGGACTTGTATCCCTGAAGTTCCTCGGAAATAATTTATACCGGAAATTAACAAACAAGCAAATACATAACAATATTTACATGTCTCATTCTTAACGTGACTCAGGTATATTTGAAAGTTTTGAGACAAAGGAAGAGAAATAAACCAAAGTGATAGTTATATGATCACTGTAATGCACTGGTAGTTTGTCAGACCATCTTCACTAAATAATGAGGTATGACATTGTGTGAACATTTCTGTCTGTGCTGATTTCAAAATCATTTCTTGAATTACACTTTTTTAGTATCAAGGGCTAACTTCAAGATGAGGATGAACTGATGATCATGATAAGTCAAGAGTGACTGTAATATATTTTTGTGTTGTAGCTATGCAGTATTGCTAATATGTGATTTCATGACTACAAGTGTGTAAAAGAACATTGTAAATGCTTAAGTGCATACAAAATAAATGAAAAGTTAAATATAGAATGAAGCCTCATTAAAAAGTTTAGGAAAGCTAATTTTTTTTTCAGAAAATATTTCAAATTAGCCTCCACATACCAAAAAACAATATTTTGAATGCTGGGCTTGTCATGTGTGTGAACAAAAGCTAGGTAAATAAACTTGGCCAAATTTTACTGATGTTACTAGGAACACTGCCATGGGTTGGTGAGATTTTTACCAGCTTCTATTTTTTTTTTCAAAACAATGTTTTTTTTGTATGTATGTATGGGGGGGGGGGGGGATTTCATCCCAAAGTATCTTATGATCTGATTCAAACAGATAACATGTTAAGACAAATTCTTCAAATTTATTTCATGAAACTATGATAGTAACATCCGTAAAACTTGGCTGAGTTTATTCACCTAGCTTTCAATCACACACTTGACCAGCCCTGACTTTTTCCTTAAGTCATAAACTGTTGCAAATGTTCAATGATGTCATGTACATCACAAACCTGTGTCTTCTATATATAAACTTTGTATGTTTAACTATATATATTACCTGAAGAAGAAAGACCAATATTCTATTAAAACATGTAGTACATTCTCTACATAAAACAATTTTCTTTGTGCTTATAAATCATTGTTTGTCAGTTTACAATTATATCAGCATAATGTGCTTCCATTCATAAGTGAGAAGCTGTATCTAAGGCATAAAGAAAGATAAACAGAATATCTTATCTATTTGTGTCAAATGTATTTTTTAAACAATATATTTATGAAATAGCTTTTAAGAATTTACCCAATTCAAACTTCTGAAGAATGGAAGTTTTCCCTGAGAGAGGCTTTCCTATCAGACAGGCACGCAAGGCAAAATTGGGAAAAGTATGAGGAAGAGGAGGTTCCTAAAGGGATAGTAAAAAAAAATAAATTAAAACAGTATGAAAACTAAATGTTGGATTTTTTAAATGTTTTGTTACAATTGTTCTTTCATAAAATTTTATGACAGGTGTCAATGTTTTATTTGAAACTAATGTACTTTTTGTTAAAAAGTAATACAATTAAGTTCTAAGTTCTTAGATCTGTTAGTTCGTTTCATAGTTTCCACTTCACACATATATAAGCAGTAAGCATCTTTGTTGAAAAATATATACTTACTATACATTCTAAAGTTTCAGTGTTCTGAACCATAAAGAGAAAATATATTACATGATCTAAAAAATTTGAAGAAAAATCATTACTAACATTACTTTTACCTAGTGTCCACAAGAGTGCAATTTAGACTATATTTGGTATGAATTAGAAATCAGTTTTCAATTACTTTTTTACATGTTTATAAGGAAACTGTTTGCAAATCCTTTAGATTCTAACCAAACCAAAAAGTCTTCCAACACTGGTTAATGATCTAGCTTTTTTTTTAAATATTTAACTTATAAAAACATACAATTTCCAAAAATGTTTTTGAGTCTACTTTAAGTAAATAAAACAAAAGAACATAAACTAGAGTTTCAAAAATAATAAAAAAAAGATCACTGAACTATTACAATATTCACCTTAGGAGGTTCAGCCATTCTCAGAATTTTATGAACTATAAATCCAATGATTTTCCTTCCAAGTGCATTAGCTACATAACCATTGGTTTCCCATTCATTTCTCCATTCCTATTTCAGCATAAAATAGTTTCTATTATCTATCTAACGCAAACTACCAAGTATGGTAACTTACTTCAAAACAAGTAACATTACAGATCAAAAACAAAGTCATCAAACTGTGTATATAATCATGCACTGCTTCTAATATAAACAGTCGAGTTAAAGATGAAATAGTCAGTGTTACTTATTCTAGACTTCAAATCCTGAACTTTTTGTTTTTTTAGATTTACTTTTAGAATCAAAATGGTCATTTTTCACAATAAATATAATGCATCAACTAACATAGCTACAGGTGACAGGTGATCTCTACAGATAGGCTTCACTAATCTACATAAATTATTTTTAAATTAATAATGCTAACTGATTAAAAGCTGTTTATTATTAATACTACTAAATAAATAAATCATCTCAATATGTTCATCCAGTTAGTGAAATTGATAACTGACTTTAAATTTCCAACTTGTCTTAATTTACATGAAAAACAAACAAGGTACTGATATACATATACCTTAATAAGAGAATACAAACATTACAATGGATGTGTTTATTTGAAATTATAATTCAAAAATATTCTAACTTAAATAATTTTTTTCTAAACATGCAGAACTTGGAATTGCTGTTAATTTTGATACTTAATCAAAGAGAATTTAATGTTTTAATATTAAATAAACTATTTAAACTACAAGGCAATATGGATCAAATGTTTGTCAATGATAAATTTTTATAACCACGTGTATAAAAGAAACAGTTACCTAAAACACAAATGTAACTAATTCAATCCTTGCCTGAAACTAGCTAAATTGGAAGATTAGCCATAAAAATATTTAAAAAATCATAGTAAAAAGTTTTATATTGATTAGGCTTAAAGTACTTCCAACATTACAAGTAAAGTAAATAAAATATTCTGTTCATTTGTTTTGGTAACCTTAACATTTGTAACTTAAAAAGCCTCAAAAATAAAATATTTATTCAATCTAAAATAACATTAGTGTAGAGAAGAGGTTCAAAATATAATAACAGAAGCAAGAATCTCTTTGTATTTCATTTTACAACTTAAACGTTAAATATAAGTAGGATAAAATTACATATACAATTATTACAACCAGAAGCCTCACACTGACATAGAAATGGACTGAAAGATGCAGAAATGTGCTTTCCACTACTTTAAAAGTAGAAACTTTTAAAATTAACAAAAAGAAATGACAAGAATAAAATATCTTATAAGAGCAGTAGCATTTCTTGACCAATAAATAAAGTAATTTGATTAACAATTAGGTGAATAACAACAGAGACCAATAGCTAGATGATATCACCAACTGGTGTTTCTAGGACAGTCACACCAAGATTTCTAAAGATCAACGTGAAAGAATGCCGTGAAAACCTACTCAAACAAGCACAATTAGACAATGAAACAAATAATCAAGTCTTTCCAAATCAGAAAACATTCAGTAGCATTTCCAATATTTAGAATACAAAGATAATCACAAAAGTAATATAATGGCATATAAAAACACATAAAACAATGAGCTTTACATTCAAATTTTAATTTTGAAACTAGAAAAATAACAGATATTCACTTTCTAGATATAAGCAGATATACTGAGGAGGATTATTCTACAACAAACATAGACCCAAAGGAGATGCATGAAATTAAATAACTGCATAAGGAACACAATTAATACCAAGTTATAGTCACTTCACTAAGATTGTCTCCAAGAGAGTTGAATGAAGGAATATATATTGTGATAACAATAATGAGAAGTAAAAAGATTCAATAAATATATACTTAACAGCTTATACAATTACTTTCAAAACCATAAATATAGCCAAGTGATGAAGCTAGAAGAATGAAATCTGGATAACTTGACTTTTGTCTCCATTTTAATGACAGTAGGCATAAAATGCTAAACTTTTTTAGGCCCTCCCCCCCATAACTGTTATAGACAACCCATGAATGGAAGAAAATTTCATAATATGGATAATGTCTTGAATGCACATAATAAAAGCTCAGTGTACGTATAATAGCAATGCTTTGCTTTCACAGGACTAAGTAGATCCAGAAGTGACTGATAAATTCAAAAAAGACAAGGTTAGTAAAAGTAGTCACCAGAAAGCAAAATTTGGTTGATTTCAAAGTATGGAAACCTGATAATACACAGATGCTAGAAGTCTTCAAAGAAATTCCCTAGAATCCACAACTCCAAAAATAAAAAAAAAGGCTAGAGTCAGTAACTATAAAGTATAAGTAATGTCTAAGAAAACAAAATTTAACATGCAAAGAAAAAGAAAGCATGAAACAAAAAAATAAAAGTTTGGCAACAGCTCAATTATTCAAAGAGGCTCAATACAATATGCTGTAAGTTACTAATTAACCTCCAGGAGCTGAAAGTCTTAGTTTTCATTAAGCAGATTAAAACACTAAACCTGTTTAACTAAATTTTGAGTTAGAAGTTAAATGAGTGTGTAAATGTGATTGAAGTCAAGAGGATGCAAGAGCAAATCAATGATCCAAATAACAATCGAAGACCAAGTCTCCTGCAAAAAAATAAAGCAGCCAAGGTCTTTAATAAAATCATATGGTGTGGAGGCTAGCCCAAAAGAGAGTGGAATGAACTGGTATAAATAAACAAGGTGACTAAATAATGAGAAAAATTATCATTTAGTACACGAAGAAAGGTGTATATAATATCAATCGTTGTCATCCAGCTATACTAGAAAATGAGGAGCCTTTAAATGTGATTTGGATAGGATAGGTTGAGGACTAAATACTGATTCCCACAAACAACCAAGTATAAAAATTTGGATCACAAAAACAAACAACCTCTACACAGTTGTTTGGATGGGAAAATATTGTATTGCTGTAAAACATTTACCTTTAAATGAGCTGAAAGAGGAAAACAAATCTTTGGAAGTAACAGCCTGAGGAAAATAAATCAATGATCCACTTCTAGGATTTTCACAATCTAATCGTTTATGTACAAAACATCCAAGTAGATATTAAATTATGTATTCTACCCTACACTGGATCAGCTAAAAAGAGAACTGGCTCATGGAAACGACAACTCTGGAACCTTACTTCAAAAATTCTTTTAAATAAACACATGAGACATGGAAACTTTTAATAAAAGGAATTCCACTAACTTAGGTATTCTAAATCTAGAAAAAGTACATTTAAAGCAAAAAAGGGGACCAAATTATTTGAACTAAGTTTTTGGCAAAAGTTGAGCAGAGGGAAACCTAAAATATAAAGGGAATGAGAACAGAGCTTAACATACACGAGAATCAGTGACTGAGAAAGAAAACCCTGCAGAAGCTTCATAATCCTGAACTCAGGCAGAAATATGTTGTTGTGGAGAAGTAAGATTATCCTTTTATCTAAGCAAGGAACCATTGGTGCTAATAAAGAGTTGAAAAACACAAAGAATCAGTTAACCAATGTTAAAATATGTCAGTCTAAACAGCAGCATCAAAGGAATGAGAAAAGAGTACAGATTTGTGGTGTGCACAGTCAATTATACTGAAAATTGGTATTTATTTACTTCAAGTAAGTACTTGGTTAATATTTTAAACATTGATTATTAATAAGTTATAACAAACAAATAAAAAACTTACCATTTATAATCTGTTCAAATAAAACGTTTTGTGGTATATCAATATGCCATGTTTCTATCTTTACATAGTATTTGTTCAGAATACGTGCAAGCCATTAAGTTGGTCTTGTTTCAAGTTCCTTTTGTTTGTTTTTGAAGTAAGCAGTATCTGTTACCACCCAGGAAGAACATGCTTAATGTTCAGCAGTGTCCTTCAACAGTTGTTCAGGTGATATCTAGAGGTTACACCCCCCACCTATGCATTCTAATCAAGTGGATAACACATCTCATGCTGATTAAATGATAAGTTTCTACGAAATTCTCATAAGAAACCTTCGATTTGGTAGGTTGGTCTGGGGACAGTCTTATAGAACTTAGTCATCAGCAGTCAGTCCAGTGATCCAGGGAAAGTGACAGTACAATGTAAGTAAACTACAAATGCACATACAAAATGAACAATCTCTGTTATACACCATACACAAATTGCTCATTTTGACTCAGTTATTAAGAGATTTAGGTAATAGGTATTATGAGCAAATCTCCTTTTATTTAGCAGACACATCCAATAGCTCAACCAAATATTAATTACACCTGAATATACCACAATGTTCTGGCAGCAGAGATAAAACTACACACTGAGGAAACCCTCCCAGTGGAAATTTCCTTCTTCTCTCACTCATATTAATTATGCATGACACCATGGGCACACTCTGCCACTATATGCTGAGTGCCTGAAATTGTCTAATGAGTGGGTGTGTCAAAGCAGAATTGAGAATAGTCATAACTATATCATGGCAGAAAATGATGCATCCCACAGTGACAAAAGCCAGACAATTAAAAAAATGCCCCCAAATTAAGAACATGTTTAATAATATTCATCACAATCATTAATTTTAGATTATTGTTTATTTAATAGGTTACATTGTTACCAATAATGACACGGGCCTGCAATGTTTTTATTGTCTTGAAATTTTTCCATGATCAGCAGTAATTCCTGTACGCTGAATCCAAAAATGATATCCATTTTTCTCCATCATGTACAGATTTTCCACAAAATGTCATATGTGCTTTTACATAAGTGAATCATTTTCATTGAAATCGGGTCACATTTTGTTATCCTTAAAATGTTAACAACCACTGGCTATAGATTTCTCTAGACCAAGATGTGAGAGTCTTATTGATCATTCTAGAACCCAAACATAACAAGCATAAGAAAAAAATGTTCATTGTGGTAAACAAAATAATAATTTGATCTAAGTAAATAGTTTTTTTTCTTTCCCTAATTTGTAAAAAATCCTTACAGGATAGAAAAGAATGAATATTATTTTTGGAA